CTCCTGTCCTCCAGTGTCGTCAGTCTGATTTCCCTTAACCTTTCTTCGTAGGACATTGCCCTTAGCTCTGGAACTAACCTTGTTGCAAACCTTTGCACTTTCTCTAATTTCTTAACGTGCTTGACCGGGTGCGGGTTCCAAACTGGAGCTGCATACTCCAGTATGGGCCTGACGTACACAGTGTATAGAGTCTTGAACGATTCCTTACTAAGGTATCGGGACGCTATTCTCAGGTTTGCCAGGCGCCCATATGCTGCAGAAGTTATCTGGTTAATGTGTGCCTCCGGAGACATGCTCGGTGTTATACTCACCTCAAGATCCTTCTCCTTGTGTGTGTGTGTGTGTGTGTATTCACCTATTTGTACTCACCTAATTGTGGTTGCAGGGGTCGAGACTCAGCTCCTGGCCCCGCCTCTTCACTGATCGCTACTGGGTCCTCTCTCTCTCTGCTTCCTGAGCTTTGTCATACCTCTTCTTAAAACTATGTATGGTTCCTGCCTCCACTACTTCACTTGCTAGGCTATTCCACTTGCTGACGACTCTATGACTGAAGAAATACTTCCTAACGTCCCTGTGACTCGTCTGAGTCTTCAGTTTCCCAGTTGTGACCCTTGTCCCTGTGTCCCCTCTCTGGAACATCCTATCTCTGTCCACCTTGTATTTTCCCCGCAGTATCTTGTATGTCGTTATCATGTCTCCCCTGACCCTTCTGTCCTCCAGTGTCGTCAGTCCGATTTCCCTTAACCTTTCCTCGTACGACACTCCCTTGAGCTCTGGGACTAGCCTTGTTGCAAACCTTTGTACTTTCTCTAACTTCTTGACGTGCTTGACCAGGTGTGGGTTCCAGACTGGTGCTGCATACTCCAGTATGGGCCTAACATACACAGTGTACAGTGTCTTGAACGATTCCTTATTAAGGTATCGGAACGCTATTCTCAGGTTTGCCAGGCGCCCGTATGCTGCAGCGGTTATTTGGTTGATGTGTGCCTCCGGTGATGTGCTCGGTGTTATGGTCACCCCAAGGTCTTTCTCCCTGAGTACTCACTCACCTATTTGTACTCACCTATTTGTGGTTGCAGGGGTCGAGTCCTAGCTCCTGGCCCCGCCTCTTCACCGGTTGCTACTAGGCCCTCTCTCTCCCCGCTCCATGAGCTTTATCAAACCTCGTCTTAAAACTGTGTATGGTTCCTGCCTCCACTACGTCATTTTCTAGGCTATTCCACTGCCTTACAACTCTATGACTGAAGAAATACTTCCTACTATCTCTCTGACTCATTTGTGTCTTCAACTTCCAATTGTGGCCTCTTGTTTCTGTGTCCCCTCCCTGGAACATCCTGTCCTTGTCCACCTTGTCTATTCCACTCAGTATTTTATATGTCGTTATCATGTCTCCCCTGACCCTCCTGTCCTCCAGTGTCGTCAGGCCGATTTCCCTTAATCTTTCTTCATAGGACATTCCCCTTAGCTCTGGAACTAACCTTGTTGCAAACCTTTGTACTTTCTCTAGTTTCTTGACGTGCTTTATCAAGTGCGGGTTCCAAACAGGTGCTGCATACTCCAGTATGGGCCTGACATACACGGTGTACAGTGTCTTGAATGATTCCTTACTAAGGTATCGGAATGCTGTTCTCAGGTTTGCCAGACGCCCATATGCTGCAGCAGTTATTGATTGATGTGTGCTTCCGGAGACATGCTCGGTGTTATACTCACCCCAAGACCTTTCTCCTTGAGTGAGGTTTGCAGTCTTTGGCCACCTAGCCTATACTCTGTCTGTGGTCTTCTGTGCCCTTCCCCTATCTTCATGACTTTGCATTTGGCAGGATTAAATTCGAGAAGCCATTTGCTGGACCAGGTGTCCAGTCTGTCCAGGTCTCTTTGAAAGTCCTGCCTGGTCCTCATCAGATTTAATTCTCCTCATTAACTTCACATCATCTGCAAACAGGGACACTTCTGAGTCTAACCCTTCCGTCATGTCGTTCACATATACCAAAAATAGCACTGGTCCTAGGACCGACCCCTGTGGGACTCCGCTCGTCACAGGTGCCCACTGTGATACATCATTACGTACCATGACTCGTTGTTGCCTCCCTGTCAGGTATTCTCTGATCCATTGCAGTGCCCTTCCTGTTATATGCGCCTGATGCTCTAGCTTCTGCACTAATCTCTTGTGAGGAACTGTGTCAAAGGCCTTCTTGCAGTCCAAGAAGATGCAATCAACCCACCCCTCTCTCTCTTGTCTTACTTCTGTTATTTTATCATAAAACTCCAGAAGGTTTGTGACACAGGATTTGCCTTCCGTGAATCCGTGTGTGTGTGTGTGTGTGTGTGTGTGTGTGTGTGTGTGTGTGTGTGTGTGTGTGTGTAGATTCGCTAATTAAACAACAAATAAAACCTAATTATCTTAATAATTACTAATAACGCACTTTATCTGCTTTCAGACCTACGATAGAAGAAATACGGGCGTGGAGCGACTCCTTTGAACGATTAATGAAATGCTCTAGTAAGTAGAGTCCATACACAGTTTTAAGACTAGGTACGATAGTGCCCAGGAGCTAGAAAAATGGTGTTTGTAGTTGAGAGCAATGGGGCCAGGAGTTAAGATTTGACCCCCGCACTCAGAAATGGGAGAGTACACACCACACCCACACACACACACCACACACACACACACACACACACACACACACCACACACACACACACACACACACACACACACACACACACACACACACACACACACACACACACACACACATCAGCTACCATTTGACAAATATGATCTTGGAAAACTAAGGTTAATTAATTGGTTGGTTAATGGGGTTTCAAGACTATCTACTACACGAGGGTCATTAAGGCTGCATGTCACCTGTACACCACCAGTCAAGAATACTTTAACACCTAAAATCCTGCTTAACGTAAACTACCAGTGTATATACACTGAGATATACACCTCTCAGTGTATATACACTGAGATATACATCTCTCAGTGTATATACACTGATATATACACCTCTCAGTGTATATACACTGAGATATACATCTCTCAGTGCATATACACTGAGAGATATACCTCACGGTGTATATATCCTCTTTTAAAAAGGATATTAACAACGGTTGTGTAATCCAGACGTAATATAATCTAAGATATGTGAAAAGTTTGTTCCCCAAGGCACTGCCCTGATGCCCAGACTGTTTCTTATCTCCATAGCAGACATAGATAAAAACACTAGCCACAGCTTGGTATCATAGCAGACATAGATAAAAACACTAGCCACAGCTTGGTATCATAGCAGACATAGATAAAAACACTAGCCACAGCTTGGTATCATAGCAGACATGGATGAAAACACTAGCCACTGCTTGGTATCATAGCAGACATGGATGAAAAACACTAGCCACTGCTTGGTATCATAGCAGACATGGATGAAAACACTAGCCACTGCTTGGTATCATAGCAGACATGGATGAAAACACTAGCCACTGCTTGGTATCATAGCAGACATGGATGAAAACACTAGCCACTGCTTGGTATCATAGCAGACATGGATGAAAACACTAGCCACTGCTTGGTATCATAGCAGACATGGATGAAAACACTAGCCACAGCTTGGTATCATAGCAGACATGGATGAAAACACTAGCCACTGCTTGGTATCATAGCTAACATAGATAAAAACACTAGCCACAGCTTGGTATCATAGCAGACATGGATAAAAACACTAGCCACAGCTTGGTATCATAGCAGACATGGATGAAAACACTAGCCACTGCTTGGTATCATAGCAGACATAGATAAAAACACTAGCCACAGCTTGGTATCATATCAGACATGGATAAAAACACTAGCCACAGCTTGGTATCATAGCAGACATGGATAAAAACACTAGCCACAGCTTGGTATCATAGCAGACATAGATAAAAACACTAGCCACAGCTTGGTATCATAGCAGACATGGATAAAAACACTAGCCACAGCTTGGTATCATAGCAGACATGGATAAAAACACTAGCCACAGCTTGGTATCATAGCAGACAGATAAAAACACTAGCCACAGCTTGGTATCATAGCAGACATGGATAAAAACACTAGCCACTGCTTGGTGTCATAGCAGACATGGATAAAAACACTAGCCACAGCTTGGTATCATAGCAGACATGGATAAAAACACTAGCCACAGCTTGGTATCATAGCAGACATAGATAAAAACACTAGCCACAGCTTGGTATCATAGCAGACATAGATAAAAACACTAGCCACAGCTTGGTATCATAGCAGACATGGATAAAAACACTAGCCACAGCTTGGTATCATAGCAGACATAGATAAAAACACTAGCCACAGCTTGGTATCATAGCAGACATAGATAAAAACACTAGCCACAGCTTGGTATCATAGCAGACATGGATAAAAACACTAGCCACTGCTTGGTATCATAGCAGACATAGATATAAACACTAGCCACAGCTTGGTATCATAGCAGACAGATAAAAACACTAGCCACAGCTTGGTATCATAGCAGACATGGATAAAAACACTAGCCACAGCTTGGAATCATAGCAGACATAGATAAAAAAAAAACACTAGCTACTGCTAGTCTTACAATAGGCAGAGAAATTTACCACATGTTGAGGTCTTTTGAGACCGAATTGGTTAGGTAATGTTTGTCAGGAAACAGGACAAGTGTTTCCTGACGCGGGTCTTAGTTATATGGTGACCCAAAGCTGGAGCTTCTGGTCACCTGACCGAGGCCTTCCACTGGCTTATCCCTCCACCCCTTTAAAAATTTAAGGTTATACTTATAACCACAGCATATAACTGAGATCGAATGATGATAAATATTTTACAGGCCAGAAAGATAACAGGTCGTATTGTGAGTACTTCCAGAACATGAAATATCACGGGAATCTTCATGATAACACTTGTGTTCTCACATCTGAATAAATGTTCTGCGCTCATGGCTCCTTTCAAGGCAGAAGAGATATATACAAACTATTTCTTTTCTGCCTTATACCAAATATAGTTCACGTGTAATACAATAGTGTTGAGGACAAAAGAAAGCCATTTAGGACAGATAACGTGTCTGCGTATTGATAATGATGATCTAAACTAGTACGAGCGCTTTATAGCCTTTGGAATGTACACTAGAGGACGGTGGAGAGAGAGAGAGAGAGAGAGAGAGAGAGAGAGAGAGAGAGAGAGAGAGAGAGAGAGAGAGAGAGAGAGAGAGAGAGAGAGGGAGAGGGAGAGATTCTTCGCAAAAGCGTAGAATGAATCTTGTTAATACCAGCGGCTCCAGACACACAGGTAACACTGTACAGATACACTGTGTAAATATAATAATAATATGTACCAGTACATGATACAACTTATACAGACCATAGCTGACATCAGTGACATACTATATAGAAAGTTCCTGGTTATGTAGAGCATTTCCCAAAACTTGGGTTAATTTTGTCCCCAGAATGCCACCCACACCAGTCACCTAACACCCAAGTACCACCTTACTGCTTGGCAAAATGGGCAGCAGGTGTTTTAAGGGAACACGCTCAACGTTTCCACCTGTACCGGGGATCGAACCACAAACACTGAGTGTGTGAGCTGAGTGCTCTATGACGACACGATGGAAGAACTGACACAAGCGTAGTTACATGCAATGTTTACTGATATTGTTGATGCTTCGTGCTTATATAATGGTCTTTGAAGGCTTAGCAGAAGATGCTAACGTCAGTTACTACCATGGCCAGAGGTAGTGTCGCTATTTTGAATGTTTACGACGGTAGAGACAAGGAGATCAGTCTTCTCACCGCCACAGACACCTCCACAGCTAGCCAAATAAACAACTAAAACTTTCTTACGCAAGATCCACATCCTAAATGCCTCTGAGCAACTTAATAAAGTTGTACAAACCATCCCCAGACCTGCCAGGATTTACGGCCTCCACTAGATATTAACCAGTAACTCCACTGAGATCTGTCTGGTATAGGCCGTGTTACCCTCACTAATCAAGGATTCCAGCAAAATTCCTATCTAAACTCCAGGTACAATCAGTCCAGCGCTCTGGTGTTGGCTTCAACTTCACCATTAACGTCAGGAACTTGAAACTCTACAGCCTAGACGTGACGTTCCTGTTTACCAAGGTGCCCACAACACAAGTCATTGATCTGCACCAGAAAATTGATGACTCCCTCGACATTCCTGTCCCAGTCATCGATTTCATAACCCCGCTGAACCGTGTGTTGGTTTTATATGTTTCTTGAAAATTGTCCCGTTTAACAGGCTTTCGGATTGCCTATGGGTTCTCCACTTATTGTTGTACTGCCCATCTTACTCATGGAGGATATTACAGACACTCACAGACACTCCTGTTATTCCTTTCTGAGGCCTAGTTCTCAGGATTTTTGCCTATCCATATGCTCTTGCGCTACCCTCCACAGGATGGATATGGGGAGCACAATAATCCAGCCACTTCGAAAGCAAAAATCTAATAACCTTCAGCTCTCCAACACAAGCTCAACCAGGTCGAGAACTCAGTCTAATTCACGCTACAAGAAGTCGACAGCACTCTTGCTTTCTTTGATGTTGTCTACAAAGCTGACCACGAATTTCACTTCATGGTTATAAATGACCATAATTTTTAAAGGGGTGGACCGGTAAGCCAGCGGAAGGCCTCGGTCAGATGACCAAAACTCCAAAGGCGGGTCATCATCTGACTAAGACCCGCGTCAGGAAACATTTGTCCTGTTTCCTGACGAACCTTACCTAACCTAACCTAACCTAACCTAACCTAACCTAACCTAACCTAACCTAACCTAACCTAACCTAACCTAACCTAACCTAACCTAACCTAACCGAAACAAAACGTGGAGCAACCACAGGCTTTTTTTCTTCGTGCCCTCCGAATCTATTAAAAAAAAATACTCTGTATCATTTTCTAATTACACTCTCCTCATCACTTCAGAGATTTCTGACGCCGTGCGCACATCAACTCACCCAGACATGATACCACACCTCCTCCCTACCAACTCCTTTGACAAGCACGTCTCCGTAGCTCGATCGCTAGTGCGCTCAGCTCACACACCGAGGGCCGGGAATCGATATCCCGGTACGGCTGGAAAACATTAGTACGTGTTTCCAAGGGTGTTGACTGGTGTGGGTCGCATCCTGGGACAAAACTGATCTAATTTGCAGGAAATGCTCAGCATAACAAGTGTATTGTAGTGTGTATTGTAGTGTGTATTGTAGTGTGTATTGTAGTGTATATTGTAGTGTGTGTTGTATTATACTTACACAATTCTTACAATAACTACAATATACGCGGGGGAAACATCCAGAGAGCTCTAAACACGTATTGAAGAACAACACACCAGCAGAACAAATATCTTGATGTCTGGTAATTCTCTGGCACTCCCACAACCATTGCATTAATAACGGAGAGCCTCAACTTGTCACCAGGGAGGCCTATAATAGGCCTACTGGCCCATGCTGGGCAGGTTATCA